TAATAATGAAAAATGTCTAGCTGCTAAACAATAAGAAGCAAGCCTATTGAATTTATACATTTCCCTGAACTTTCTTTTTTTTTGGGGGGGGGGGGACGGGTCCTCTCAACTTCATTTTGTATCTTTGAGTTGCTCCAAGTTCCCAAACATAATAAATTAACAAATAATGATTTATATTATTAATGGAATATACTCACCATGCATGCAAACTAAACTTTAACAAAATATTAAAAAAACAAGAAATAATTCAAGAGTTTAAAACAAACCGGAAACATGCTATGCTTTCGTAAGAATATCTTTTTTTTTGTATAAAAAAATTATGCCATCACATAGTTTTGTTGAATTTAAGTGTGTGTCTAAAATAACAATATTACTAAGATAAATGATTTCGGTGCTACAAGTAGAAAATGTTACAACCATAAACTTACAGCATTCACAAAGTTTGAACTGGATTCACGAAACAAACTTTTTTACTTTAGATCAGTTAATGTTGCTACACTGGTGAGATTTCAACATTGGATAATAATGTACAATTTTCTGTGTCATCTCAAAACCCAAACTTAATTAATTCGTATTTTACATTTATCTCTATAACAATGGAAACCTACAACTAGTTACTACATCCGTGTATCTGTATTTCAGATCAATCCAGACTAGAAAATGTCATCATCAGTTTGAAAACTTAATACACAAACTGGCTGTTAACTAGGTGATACCAGCCTTTAGCTCTAATAAAGGATATCTTTAATTAAATAATATCAACAGTTGCGTTCGGTTTAAAAATCACCCTGAAACAGTTGATATTAACACATGTATTCAGATTAAATATTGTTTTGAAACCGTTGATGTCAACACCTGTGTTCAGATTAAAGATCAACCCTGAAATAGTTTATATCGACATCTGTGTTCGAATTAAATATCAACACTGAAATAGTTTATATCAACACCTGTGTTCGGATTAAAGGTCAACCCTGAAATAGTTTATATCAACACCTGTGTTCAGATTAAAGATCAACCCTGAAATAGTTTATATCGACATCTGTGTTCAGATTAAAGATCAACCCTGAAATAGATTATATCAACATCTGTGTTCGGATTAAAGATCAACCCTGAAATAGTTTATATCAACATCTGCGCTCGGATTAAAGATCAACCCTGAAATAGTTTATATCAACACCTGTGTTCGGATTAAAGGCCAACCCTTTACAATTGTGATTATATCAATAAGTAATTAGCTGATATAATTAATTATCTTTCCACTACTGTTATAATAAATAATTGTATTACGTAGTTGAAATTAAATAACACTTTCAACTATTTATTAATAAACTCTAAGTAACTAACACCGACATTTTTTTTTGTATTCTTTCAGCAAAGAGTGCTGGCATCTGTATTCCTTACAAAGTAACCTAAACTAATTAAATCACTATACTTTTGTTTGCTACAAAACAGCTCATATAAACGTAAATACTTTAAATCAACAAAGTTAGGTTATTGATATTACCATAAATATGCTTTAAAAATATTCATCAACCGTTACTAAATAACATCAACACTTATTTCGAAATATAAACACCTACCTTTAGACCATCAATATTTATCTGACTGAATTGTCCTTCTATAAAAAACAACAATTTTACAAATGGATATCTAATCGCTTAGGTTAAAACAAATACTGAATTGTGACCATTGTTATGAGATTTAGTCTGTCTGTGCCTTTTTTTTTTGCTAGAAATAATTATATTAATAATTATATAATATATATATATATAGCCGGAAAACAACCAGAAGCTCATCAAACATAGTTGTAAGTAAGATTTGAAATGTAGTTCCTTTATTAATATTGTTTGCCTTTGTTATGAACAAAGAAATGGCTTCTATCTAAAATATTCAAACAGCGACAAAATTACAATAGTTATCATTTTAAAACTCTTCATGTTGATAGATGACGTTGACAGACTCTAGTAGGTTTTTACTGTAACCGGTGAAGTTCAGATTTAGTTATGTCTCGATAAAGATCCCTACTGAAATTAAGCAGTCTTTGATGACGTCACGTATGCTTATTACATCGTTTACTGATCGAATGAACATTATTTTGGTTTAAATGTCAGATGAAATTCATAAAAAAAAAAGAGAGCAACAGTTGGATTCCTAAAGGACTAGTCACCATATTCACTGAAAGGCACAGTTTAAAGACCAGCTTCCGTAGACGATACAAGATACAGCAGCTTCCGTAGACGATACTGATTTTTTTTTATTTTGACTGTTGTTAAACACAAAGCTACATAATGGGTGATCAATTATTTGTCCAACACGGGTATCGAAACCCGGTTTTATAGCGTCGTAAGCCTGCAGACTTACTGCTGAGCCACTGGGACACTAGTAGAGTAGCAACAATTAGTCCTAACCACTAATTAATTACATTATAATCTAGTAATGGATTTTGTGAGATTGTTTTTTGATTTAGGATAAAAACATCCAAATGTTGACGTAAAATAATTGCAGTGAAGAAAAATACTTTAAAACACAACAACAACAACAACTATTCATCATAAAATCAAAATAATGTATAAAACTAGTGACAGTTGTGTTTTATGTTATATTTATAGTACATTTTTGACTTAAGAATGATATTGAAAGTGCCTAACGTGTATCATAATCAGCAAATCACGTGGCAACCACGTACTCAGCCTCTGTAGTTCCGTAAAGTAATTAGTGTATTTGAAGCATGGAGTAACATAAAAAGGCTTAATAAAACCTAACAATACACATATGTTGGGCAACTCTAAGGTTCCTAGTTAACATAGTATTTGTATTTTGTTTTCATGACAAAGTTGCTAAGGCTATCTACTGCCGTTCCTAATTTTGAACTACTGATCAGAGGTAAGGCAGCCAGCCAGGAGCAACCTACAACCAACCTTCCACGCTAAGGGATTAACTGTTGCTCTTATAACTCACCCAGAACGGGTAATATTTTGTAGTATCGCACTGATTCGGAACCGGTTCTTCTTCCACAGGACTAGTCAATACAGAGTATAAGAACAAGATAGTACCTATATAAACCAAACAGTTCTAATGTGTTCACGAATAAAAGCTATCAAATACTTGATACTGCGTATTCTGGGTTATGATTATGTTAGTCCTTTCATATCATATTATCAAAATAAGGACAACATGTTTTGTTCCGACGTCCATCATGTTGTCTGAAAGTCGACTTTAAACATGTTGTTTCTAGTTTTTTATTATGTTTCTCAAAATATCATACCCTTTTGTACTAACATATTTTCACCAATAGATGGCAGCATAAGTTTGTTTTGTTTTTGTTTTTTGTAATTATGCACAAAGCTACACAAGGGCTATCTGTGCTCTGCCCACCACGGGTATCGAAACCCGGTTTTTAGCGTTGTAAGTCCGCAGACATACCGCTGTGCTACTGGGGGGCGGCAGCATAAGAATTAATATTTTGTATTTATGAAATATATTTCTTTAAATTATCATACAACAAAACTACCGAAGCGTTTACATTTTAAAATAATTAGTTTATAATATTTCTCCATTAATTGTGCAGATCTGGACCTCCTTCTATAGTGAAGCTAAAAACATGTCATGTTCTCATATAATACTTTTAAAGTTGTTGATAAAACATGTACACTCCTGGTGTAATGAAATTAAAATACTCTGCGAACAACTACTTATCAAAGTTGTAAAGGCAAGAGTAGAAGATATTTAAACTGATGTTGCGTGGGGTTTACTATCGGAGAATCCGTACGCATCTATTTTGTATTGGACTATTTAAAGATTTATTTATTTGCTTAGTTTTATTATTATTATTATATAGTAGCGTTTTGTTTGATTTGCTTTTTCCATTTCTTAATTACACAAATTATTTTAGAACCTAAATGCTTTGATATTTTTGTTGCACGGTACTTTAAAGAATTATCTAACCTATAAAAAAAAAGCCAATGTGTGTCACGTCACACCGCCAATTTGTATCACGTCACGCTTGATTTCTCGAGATAGGAGGAGTCATAAAAGTCAAAATGCATTATACAGATAGAATAGTTCGATTATTGTCGGCACATTACGATTTCAGTGATGGTGGTACAAGGGGGCGTGAAACCTTATAAGACGTAGTGTGGGATTACCTAGCCGAGAGCGAAGTCAATAAAATTTATCATGAAAGTAAAAATATCGATTCAATTTTAAACTGAAATAGTTCCTGAATTAAACTGTTATATCACCAACGTGTTTAATACCTCTTTAATCAACGAAGATTCTAAATTAAGGAATCAACAAATATTTTCCCAGTTTTGTTGTCTAAACATTTCATTTTAAACTTTCAGTACAAAGACTAACAACAATATTAGGTTATACTTTTATTGCTGAGCAACACGACATAAAAGCTATTGTTGGAACGTAGTGTTACCAAAAATATTAGTTGTTAATCTAACTGATTTTTACTGATAATTATTCTATGAATACGCCACGAATTCATTTCATGAATTATCTTAATCTTGATTGGCTCACTGCACTTTTCTGCCTCTTTGTTGGTGAAGCTTGATTTCGCAAAATTTATTTATTTCAGTTAGCT